TAATAGTGTTGAAATCAAATCTGACAGTGTTAATTTGGACATGCTGGATTTGCTGTGATACTGTGATTTTTTATGGAAACCTGACTAAAAGGAGACAAGATGGAGTTAATGGCCAGAAAATCTTTAACCTTATTACTGACCAGATTCAAGCACTTTACCAGAACTGAGAGTTTAGAGATCCATCTATAATTATTTAAAATACTAGGTTCACTTTTCTTTTAATAGGGGAGCAACAATGGCAGATTTGCAATCCGAAAGAACTTTATTTGTAACCAAGTAGGTTGAAAATCTGAGACAGTGGTCCAATGATAGTTTCAGCTGCTAGTTTTAGGAGAGCTTGTTTTCAAGGATTAAGTTCTTTTAGCCCTCATAACCTCTGTTGTTGTAAAGGGAGTCAAATTAAAAACCTGGGTACTGCTACTGCTTCTTTCAGTCGAATTGTCAGAATTAAATAAAATAAAAAAAACAGAAAAAAATAATTAAAGAAGTATACTAGATGGAAAATTAACTAGATTATGACAAGATAATAAAAACTTTATGGCCATCCAGAATTTCTTTGGATTTTAAGGCACTCTGTTGTAGAAAAATAAAATTCAAGTAAAAGTACATTTGTGTTGGGCAGTCTATCCTTTTACTGGTACCACGCGTTAGTAAAACTATCCCTTAATGTGCATTTCACTCACTTTTTTGACTTAATGATGACCACAACTAATAGATATCAACTGCACAATAAAAGATTATGTCTTACTATTGCTCCAAAACATACTGTACCCAAAATTCTTCTTTCCACTTGCCCTTCACTTTGTCCTGGAAGAGGAAACCAAAGATCCAGCAGCTCAGCTGGTAATATAGTCAACCTATTGATAGAAAAGGAAATGAGAACTGAAAACTTGAGCAAATCTGTTTAAGATTTTGTGAAATTGGACCAACCTGTTGCTGGACAGATCCAGATATGTGATGTTAGGAAGGAAGAGAGCAGCATGGGCTGGAAGACTGGACAAACGGTTGTTATGTAGACCCAGAGTCTGGAGACGGGGCATGTCTCTGAGTCCCTCCCAGGGAAAGGATGTTAGGAGGTTCCCATCAAGACGGAGCTCTCGCAGGGCTTTCAGGTTGACGAAGCTGCTTGGGTGGATCAGTGTTATTGAGTTATAAGTTAGCCATAAGAACCGCAGCTCTGACAGGTTGTAGAAGGCTGCCCTGGACACCTTGGAGATCGGCGTCTTTTCTAGACGAAGTTTGACCGTGTCAGCTGGGACGCTAATGGGAACAGCTGTGATTCCAGGGTCACTGCACTGGACCAGCCTGATGAGTTAAAAACAGGAGTAAAGTCTGAATGAATAAATCGTATACAAACAGGCAGATAAAACATTATGATCTGTAGTGACAGTAGGGAACAAGTTAAGGCTTGAGAGGTGGAGGTGTGCACAGGAAGAAGCAAGTCAAGTGCAAGTGTGAATGAGAGAGAGGTGGAATAGAGGTAATGGACTGGTTCTTATATAGCTCTTTTCTACTCAAAGCACTCATAGTACTCATTCATCCATTCACAGCTGTTCATTCAAGCACTTTTTTCTATGTTTTTTCTATTTCTATCTTTCTGTCACGGCACTGGATCGGTGTCCCGGTGTTTGTGTTTTTGGTTTACTGTTCTTTGATTATTGTTATTCATGGTTTTGATTATCTTTTGTCTTAGGTTCTTCGTGATCGTACTTCTCTCTCCCTTGATAAACAAGGAACTTCCAACTTCACCACAACAAAGAGTGATTACACGTATTACAAAACTGAATAACTAGAAGCCAATTCGTTTACTAAATAATGATGCAGAAGCATTTGCCTATAATCTTTGCAAAGAGACTGAAAAAGGCCACAAAATAATTGATGAAGAACAATTTGGATTCGTAAAGGGAGACATATAAGCAATAACATTAGTCTTCTATTAGACAGTTCAGTTAAGCTGTCTCGTGGAACCTCTAAAAGTTTGATTGGTATAAGACAAAGACGCCTGATGGCACCTTCTCTATTCTTGTTAGTAATACATATAATGGTGCATTACGATGAATGATTGTTTTGGGCACGAGTTTTTGGAAAACAGTTCAAACTGTCCTAAAGGATTATCTTGCATTAGGATGAACCCCTGAGCAACTGAGCAACTTCATGCAGCACCAAAACAGCCCCAGACCATCACACTTCCTCCTCCATGTTTGACAGGTGATGACACACAC